TGGAGTGGGCGGAGCGAGCGGTTCTGAGCGGTGGCGCCGCGGGCGGAGTGCACTGGCTGCCTAGCACCCGGCCCAGCACGGTGTCCAGCCTGTTCGCCATGGACCACAACGGTGACCCCTCGGTCCCCAGAGCTGCCTTCCGAAAGTTCCTGGAGCAACTCTCCGGGGCCGGCAAAGCCATCGGCGTGCTGACCAGCGGCGGGGATGCCCAAGGTGCGCTACCACCTCCCCGGGCCGGGGCGGAGGGGGACATCGGGGAGAAGGGATGGAGGTACCAGGGGGAAAATGTGGAGACCCGGGCAAGCGACAGGGGTGCGGGGAGAAGAGAGATGTGGGAGAGCAGCCCGGTGCCCGGGAGCCGCAGGGGTACCTTGCGGGGTTGGAGCGGGCCGGGCAGCCTCCAAGTCCCTGCGGGGGCGCGAAGGGAGGGGTATGGCAGCCCAAGCCGTCATCCGGAAGATGAATTAATTTTCCACCTCCACGTTATTTTAAAAATTGAGGCTGGCGACGGGGTCGTCTGGGCCGCCCTTGTAGGTCATCTAAATCCGACTCATAGGGTGGGTCCGGAGGCCCCTGAAGGTGGGTGACAGCGCGGCCACCTCCAATGCCAGGGCTCCCTCCCGGGGCGCGGGGGGCCCCGGGCGGGGTGGTCAGGCGTCCGGCACACTGCACGTTTACACCGGGAGATTTAAACAAGGGGTTTCCGCCGCTCTAATCGCCTTTCCCCTTCCGGCTGTGACCAAACCGAAAACTAAAATGGGTCACTGGGCCTCCCCGCCAGCCTCTCTTTGGGGGAAGGATTAGGAAGCGGGGACTCCGGGACGCCACCAGCACCGAGCGCGGACTCCAGGCGCCCCACCGCCAGCGTGGAGGCGAATTTCGGGGAGATGAGGACAGGAGTCCGAGGCCCGCGGACGCACCAAGAAAATATTTCCATATCATGGGGGAAGGAGTGACACGGCCACGCCCAGGCTGTCGCGCTGGGTGCACGTGGGGGCACAGGGGTTCCCAGGGAGTGGGTTTTCCAGATCCAGGCAAATCCCTGGGTGGAGCGAGCCAACCGCTAGAGAGTGGATGGGAGTTTTCAGGCGGATGCGGACCTGGAGCCTTAAGAACCATGCAGGCGGGGACGCGTCCGGTAGCTGGTGTGTGGTTTCTCCACTCCTCCCCAGCCCCAGATTAATTTAAAGACTCTGCGGCCTCATTTCCACCTGTTTGGAGGCCACACACAAGGTGGAGGGAGGCTTGGGTTAAGGTTCTGGCGTCCTAGCCGGTGCCCACCCTCCCCACGACCTTCCCTTTGCCCTTGAGCGGGGCGTGGCTGGCTCGGGTGCTGCCGGTTGGCGCCCTTGGCGCG